TGTGTGTGTGTGTGTGTGTGTGTGTGTGTGTATAGTTTATTTATATTCATAAGTATATAGAACTGGTTTGGGAGTTGAACTCTGGCTCAGTCCCTCTCTAATTCCAAGACTGCTGTTAAGAGAAAAACCCAGAGTTTCTGTCTCATGTCAAGAGGCATAATATGGAACAGAAGGAAAAAAGGAATTTAGAAAACACTTTTGCTTTTCTTAATATCTATCATACCTTTCATTGAATATATCTATCATACCTTTCATTGAATATATGTATGTCTGTATATGTCTATATAATTAATATTTAAGTTTTCCACAATGAACAATGAATTTTCCTGCAGTAATCTTTGAAGTTTCCAGGAAGAAAATGGGGCCCCATAACAACAACTCCACCTGGTTGATATGACATCATGATACTGATAGTGCTACTACAGCTGTTTTGGGTACCAGCTGCATAAGATGGTTCCAACTTGGTTAGCTGAAATAGTGTTCATCTTAAACAACATTCTGGCCAGACATACACAAAATACTCAGATACTATTTGCAATGTTACCAGACATTAATCTTGAAATTTAACCATCATTTTACTTTCACAGGATCCCCCAGAAAGAACATCACCCTCATGACAGCTGGAAGTAATTCTAGAGGATGACATCCCCTCTCCCAGCAAAGTTTGTCCTTGGGTTTAGAAATATCATTTAGGGATTGATTATAATTAGTGTACGTTTGAGGGTTGGGAAAGGAATATTATAAGCTCAGGGATCTTTTTGAAAAAAAAGGGGGAAAATTGGGTGATGGGATAATAGAATGGTATTTGTGAATTATTGTTTATAGATAATTACATTGGCATAGATTCTTGTATATGGATACAAAGTTAAATTATATTGGATATTGTATGCATTCACACTTCTACCTCTGTTTAAAACACTTTTATGTATTGATATATATTGTATATATATATATTTACCATATTGCAGTGTACATTTCTACCTCTGATTAAGATACTTATATACTGTTTATGTATTGATATATATATATATATTTACCATATTGCAATGTATACTTGTACATTGTTTACATTTGGAGATCATTGTCCTCATTTATTGCACTCTTGTTTATTCTCTTAGTCTTTAAGTTAGAGAGGTATTAAGAATTATAGATCAATAGTCATCTGTTTGTCATATTTATAGTTAGACTAATCAGGTTCTTCAGATACATAGAAATTATATTCTGTATAAATAATCTTCAACCTCTTCAAAGAGCTATAGAAAATGGCATTTAATCTAACTTTGAGTTCTGTGGTAGTGAGACACAGTTGCTCCTGGCAACACCAATCTATACCTGAGAGACTGTTGAGCACCAAAGATACTCTACTTGGAGATTGTCTTCTTCATGGCAAAGCCGGCCTCTGGGCAAGGAACTGTCCATACCTCAACTACTGACAAAATACATAGTATCCAGAAATGGATAAGCAAAACTGTCAAATCTTGCCAAGACTTGATAAGATGGTTTTGAAAAACTTCTTCCCTTTAAAAATAATCTGTCAGTTATTCTAGGCCTTAGACAAAGTTGGTTGATTCAATGCTGCAAATGTGACTTTGGGTGATTCCCCAGGTAGCCAGATGTCTCTGTGATTTGTTGCATGTTTTGGAAGTTGTTTGATTGCACTTCCTAATTACTCAGGCAACATTGTTTCCCTTCTCAGATCTTCGATGGGGTTGAAGACTATATAAATGTTGCTACTTTCCTCTCATGATTTGGCCAAGTTATTTATTATACATGACTTAAGCTAGTTAGAATAGGATATTTGTTCTCATTGTATATAATTTCATAGTAGGTTTAGAACTCTCTTACTTAAACAAAAGGGGGAGGTGCTGTGGGAGCTTCTTCTGCTCCTTCAGCCAATAGCCATTGAGATACCAGCCCACTGGGGCATGATCTCTTTCTCTTTAAAAAGCAGTTCTCAACCCTGTCTCTCTCTCTCTCTCTCTCTCTCTCTCTCTCTCTCTCTCTCTCTCT